GATGTACCAGTCAATCATATGACCAGGGCCAATTGATAATAAAAACCGAGGTTACATCATCGCCCCAGGAGGTCGTTTGACAACAAATTGCCTAACAACCTCCACCTTGCTGTCGAAGGACCTGCAAAAGAAAATTGTCTCCCATTAGTGACACTTCTAATAGAAAAACAATAAAATTGGAAATCATTTACCTGTACCAATATTTAGAAGTTCCTTGCAACTCCTAAACTTTGCCAGTGGTAGTACCTTCGTCCCCATATCAGATGGGTTGTAGTAGGTATGGACTTTCTCAAGTCTTACCACCTCTTGAGATACTATATCTCTAATAAAGTGGAGTCTAATATTTTATTTCTCGTAGTTGTTAGCTACTATACTGGTCTAAAAAGGGATCAACTACTGCTTTCTTGTACTTATTATACCTTAGTTCTTGAGAATTTTTAAGCTATAATGTATATGGGAGGTTTGAAGTCAGCTGAATTAAGCACTTTCAAATTCGCTCAAGATAACATCCTATGTCAATGGAACCTCCCCTAATATCCAAATCCCACCCCCAACCCCATACCCACCAAACCACCTCCCAGTCACCACCGACCCTGGACGACTCCGACGACGAAATCGCATCGCCCTGCAAACCCCTGGAGACCGACCTCACGCCAATATTAAAGTCGCACACTCAGGCGACGGCCCTAGGTGGTAACCCTAGCACCGTCGCTCTAACAGTCAATCGGACCGACGACGAGACTACCTGGGATGGTACGGGGGCCATGGGAGACGGCGAAATTGGTGGAAGTATCACTGCCCTATCCCGGATTCGATCGGTTCCAGCCCTTTCCCAGGCAAACGCGCCTGACCGACAGGCTGTGCAGGCGATTTCGGTCAGAGATGCACGACGGCGAGATGCATGCGCTGCCGAAATGGCGTGTCTGCCGGCGCGTGTCCCCCACGCGCCACCACCAGAAAATGTAGAAATTCTGCAGAATGCTCCCTGACTACCCACGATGCCTATTCCATCGTCAAATGTGCCATTTATACACAATCGGGGGAGAAAGTTAATGGATGGAGACGACATGGTATTTAATTATCGTTTTCGAGTGGAGACGAAGGAGTTTGCAGTTTCTGTTAACAATCACGGTGATGTTAGGATGATTGAATGGGGCTCGAAGTTATCTAATGCAATATGGATGGGAAGATTCGGCGCACTTTGGATGGTGAAGATGGTAGACAAGTTGAGGGTGACTAGTAGGTTGGAGGACTTCATCTCGAAGTTCAATAAGTCATCAAGAGCTTTCTTAGCACAACGTTGTGCTAACAGTCGTGGAAGGTACTTGACGATAGCACAGTATGGGAATAGGTGTCGGAAGGGAGTTGTGATGGTGCCGGGAGGCACGAATGGAGAAGGATGGGCATCGATCTCGTGGGTGTTTCGGGCGGTAGTTGATTCATTTGCTGCTGGAGATAAGGCTAAACGTCGAACGGTGAATGCTCGAAATCGACAAGGGATGACCTATGCCGAAGTAACGGCGACCACACAGGTCCCGCAGATCAGTGATCGAAAGGTTCTAAGGAGATAAGAGAAGGTTGCTACTGTGAGTGAAGATGAAGGTAATTGTATGAGGCCAAAGTCCAAGGCAGCATACACAGAAGTTTCAATCGATGGTTTATTGAATACCGTCGAAATAGAGGCTCGTGTCTAGTCATTGAAAGGAGAGTTGGATGAACTACTTCGGCTCGTAGGATGTGGATTTGTAGCGGGTCCCAAGATGCTTTGTCACAAGTGTGGGATGGCCGTGGATGAAGAACTTTTGGCAACTAAGAAGCCATCAGCAAAAGCAGGCCTTACTAAAGATATGGAGGATAACAACTCAGGATCTGAAGTAGATGAGGAGGCGAGACCTTGGTCTAAGGGAGGGAAGTTGAAGATGGTGAATTTGGAGTCCAAGACACTTGGAATGATGGACACGACATCGCCGGCTAATAGACCATTACCAGTTGAGCAAGAGATGGGACATGTTTTGGCAGTGGGATTTGTCTCTACAGTACTGAAAGAGAACAAGGCGACAGGTTCGAGATCCATATTAGGGAACACATATAACAGAAGGCATTTTAAGCCCCTAAAAGAAAAGGAAATAGAGATCGACAAAGCCGTGGTGTTGTGGATGGATGTTGCTAAGCAAGGAGGCACAGATACGGATATCGAGCTAGTGGAGGAAGTAGAGGGATATTCATGTGATCCCTTGGAGTTTTTCCTAGCAGAGGAAACAATGAAAGCAAATGTGAACGACGATGAATCCCCACCTTCGAATTGGGTCCTTCAAAAAATTCAGGATTTCAGTAAGATGGTTGGTGTGTCATACGATGGATATGAAAGTAGACTTCTGCAATTATTTGAGGAATTAGAAGGCAGTAGGGGACAGGGGATGAATATACAAGGGGCTAAATTAAGAAGAAAGGGAGATCGTGAACTTAAGCGGCTCGAGTGGTCAGTAAATTATGATGCCAAGGGTATTGAGTCAAAGAAAGGATTGCTTGGGAGGGATGACAGAGCGTCTAGATGATCCCAAAAATAATCAG